CCCAGGTGCTCGGTCACCACCTCAGCGTCCCACCCATCTGTGGCTCTCTGGGGCTGCCCGGGGGAGGAAGCGGGTGCTCACCGTGTGGACCCACAAGTCCACCAGGAAGGAGTTGAGGTCATGAATAGTTTGGGGTAGCACGCACAAGGTGCTCACGATGTCAAGGTTCGTGTGTCTCAGCAGCTGGTATCGCACGTCTGTGGGGGCACGAGGGGACGATGCAAGCAAAGGTCAGGGCCTGCCAGGGCCTGGGCCCTGCGACTGTCACCCCTCCCCCCATCGGTGCCCTCTCCCTGCCCGGTCTTCCCCGTCACGGCTTACAGGGGTCCTGGAGCATAATCATGTTCCTGCTGTCTTTGAAGTATTGCCACATGCTGTTACTAGGAGAAAAGAGGAACAGGAGGGCGTGTTGGGCCATGCGGGTGTTCTCGGGAGCTGGCCCGAGTCTGCCGGGGGAGTCCAGGCAGCAGGATGAGAGTCTGGGCTGTGATACTCACAGGGCTGGGTCCTCAGGATTGAAAGGAACAGTCAAAGAGAAGCAGGCTTGTTCGTGGTACGCTCCCAGGAGGCCCCGTCGGTCCCCATAGTCATAGATCCAGAAATACCTGTGTGGAGGCAAGGGGCAAAGTGGAGCTCTGTGGCCTGGGCCCCAAATGAGATGCAAAGACCCAGTGAGCCGTCCTGAGCCTCAGTGACGCCATCTCTCCCGGCCCCTCCCTTCTCTCGTGGCCCCAGGAGTACTCACTGCTGCAGGAATTGCAGGACTAGATTCTTCAGTGCCTCAGATCCTTGATAACTTTCCTGAAACCAAGAGACAGTCGAGGCTAGGGGTTCACAGGGTGTCCCCTGCAATAGCCCCACACTGCTTGCTCCTTTTTCCTCACCTTGCAGGGCTTTATTAAGCTGGGGGTGTCAGTGTCAATGGCAACCGGCGGGGTCACCTCCTTGCCGTCCTGGGGAAGGGAAGGGGAAGTCGGCAGCGGAAACCACAGAGGTGGCCTCGGATAACGAGGGGAAAGGGTCGGGCCAGGAGAGGGAGAGAAGCAGAGGTCAGGGCTGAGAGGATCTGGACATCTCCTGGGCAGAACCACATCGCGAGGGAGTGGCAGCCTCTACTGTGGTATGTAAATCTGGAGGCAGCGTGTAAGAGTGTGTGTGTGGGGCGGGGGTTCGTTTTGCAGAAAGTACATTCAAGTTTTTTTCTGGAGACTGTCTCCTACAAAGGATAAGGGT